CACAACACAATGAGGCCGCCGAAAGCCGTGGCGGCGGCTGGTTGGGGTCTCCTTCGGGATGTACACGGCCGAGGAGATCAGGTGAGGATCCCCGGTAGACGGTGGGTTGTTCTCTTCCCCCGCCTTGTGGGTGCTGTTGAGGACTACAACTCCCGGCGTGCTCTGCGCCAGAACACCGGCAGGTCTCGGCGGGCTGTAGGCGCGCAGCCTGCTGGGACATGTAGTCCGGCTGCGCCGTGGCCCTCATCAGCCCCTGGGATGGCGGCGAGGGTTGGGGGGCTACTGGACTCTCTGTGGGGCTCTCAGACCCATTGCGTGGCCTGGGGCCGCTGGAGGTCTTGGAGGAGTGGGGAAGGGCTGTGGGGCTGGGGAGAGGCGCGGGGACGGAGGGTGGATTCCTTGTGTGGGATTGAGGGGGGCTGGGGGAAAGGGTCTGTGAGGAGGTAGGGAGGCGGCCTCGGTCTTCCCAGGAGAACAATTCACTGGCAGTGGGGTCGCGGGGAGTATGTCCATTTCCATGTGCTGCCAGGGGCAGAGCCTGCGGGGTGTAGCATAAACTCACTTTGTGAGGGCGAGGGTTGCGCCTTTCCTGGGGGGCCTCCCCTGAGGGGGTGTGTTGGCTTCCCCCCACCCCCCGAACCCTAGCTCCAGCAGGGCCTGCCAGAGCCTGGAGAAGCCCTGTGCTGGTAAGGTTGGGCTTGTTCCTTGGTGGGCACACTCCTGGAAACCTGGCCTGGCATCTGATCCTGAGTGTCCGGCACAGAAGAAACCTTGCTGGTTTCAGCGAGAGGAAAATGTTCAGATGTTTTAGCACCAGCGTAGGTATTGCAGAGCTGAGATCTTTGTTGCAGAGGTTTTTTTGCAGCTTTTTTTGCAGCTTTTTTCAGCAAGTCATTTCTCCTGGAGTTCTAGAGAGCTGTCAACATTTCTTTAGTGTTGGTGTGATGTTAGCATTGTGTATAGTCAAGGACGTAAGGCTGTTGTCCTCTAGGTGTGTTAGTTGTTTTTATACCTCCCCCGCTGCTTGAGAGGACACGCAGACAAAATTACAAAATTGTACGAAGTACCCTCAAAAACACGTTTTCAGCAATTAAAAAAATCGTATAGATACTAAATGTCAATGCTAGTTGTACCATTCAAATGCATATCATGTGGCTGTTTGCTGCCACTGATTTTTGTTCTTTTCTTTCAACTTCAGGAAACTGAGTGTAAAACCCATAACAAATCCTCAGTATTTGGATAATGTGGGGAATCCAGCCGTTAATGGACTGTACGACTTGGCTTTGGGACCTCCAGACTCCAAAGAAGTGTGTGCAACTTGCATGCAGAACTTCAGCAACTGCCCTGGTCATTTTGGCCATATAGAACTGCCTCTGACTGTGTACAACCCTCTGTTTTTTGATGTATGTATGCTTAATTATTGTCTTGCTGGTGAAATGGGTGATGGTGCTCAAGCTGTCATACAGTTTGTAGTCCTTGAAAATAGTAAAGGTGCCGAGATCTGTTTTCTCTCGAAGTTTAAGTGTAATAACAGCAAATGTAGTAGGAAAAAGTTTGTTGTGTCGTGATAGTTCAATGCAAATAGACTCCTTAGACTTTTGCAAAATACACGCTTTGTTGTAACTATCATTTTACTCAATATTGATGAACAAGAGAGGGGCAATGTTGATCACTAAACTATGTGACCAACTGTAGGGTCTCGTGGCTTAATTAAATGGATGGCACAGTAAAAATTATTAGTTGTTTCCTTTAAACAAGTACTACAAACTTACATGAACAGCTACCTACTTTTATCCTAGGATCTCTAAGTGCTTCCTGGACGTTCAGGGCTTGTTTTTGCTCCAGATAGCTGTGTTGTACATTCTGCCCAGTAGGTCCTCTTATTCCAGAATAATTTGTTCTAGAAAACTTGATCAATATGGATAGAACCCAACAACCTATCCAGTAATATGCTGAGTGACATAACGTGTGTGCCAAGGAAATGGAAGAATGTAGCGTTGTAAGTTTGGTGGCAGCAGAGAGTTGAAAAATGCTGAGCTATATAGAAATCCATCAGTCCTTTTAATAAAAAAAAAAAAAAGGTGGCTGTCAAGATGATTTCTTGCATCTGGAAGTCAGACACGTGCTTCTCATAGCTTTACAACTGTTGCATTTACATGATATGTGGGATACTTAACGTGGAGCAGAGATTTGAGTTGGTGTGCATCTTTCAGGACAGGTGTTACAAGCTTGTTTTGAAAGCTACTGGTGGTGGTCAAACTGCACATTTCTCCTAAGTGCTTCATGTGGGTGTTTTTTCAAAAGGTCATCTTTTAAATATAAAAGGATTCCTGGCTGTAAGGGTAGGATTTGCCTTATTTTGGTCTTCTGAAAGTTAGATGCATAGTCTGATTGTACTTTTTAGCTCTTTCTGGAGTCTGAGGAGTGGGGCTATTTGCAGAGGAAGATTCATCTAGCCTATAACAGGAACCTGAGCTGGGATGAATTTCCCTCCTGAGGTGCCAATCTCCCCATTTACAGTAGCTGGCTCCTGCGTAGGCTATTAATTGAGACTAAAAACCTCACTTTCAGATGACTAAAGTTAGATAAGGTCCATCCCACTTCTAGTCTTGTCCCAGCTTTGAATACTTGTATTTGTCTAAGGAATAAAATCGTGCAGCAGTAATTCCTAGCCTTCAGGCCGCTGGTGCTGTGTGCAGCTAGAGTGAGTTGTGTGCAGAGCTATGTTGAATGATAAAAACCACTGATATTTTCCCAAAGCTTGAGGAGAATGTGGTTGCATGAAGAATCTTGAGGGACACTGATAGTACTTGTGACCAGAACGTTCCATTTTACTAGTGTGGTGTTTTGGGTACCACATTGTCCTTTATGGGATAAGCTGTTAGAAGCTGTAATCACCGTGCTATGTAAGAGCAGCCTTGGTCCCAGAGTTGCTGTAGGTACGACAGGCTTTTCCTCTTGACCCCTGTATCTGTTATGTAGACAGCCCGCAGAGAGTTTGCAGATCATGCTTGGCATGTGAGTTTGTGTGGTTGAAAGAAACATGTTTTTTTTCCCCAGTCCAATTTTTCGTGATTAAACTTAACAGTTAATCTAATTTCTGAATTATAGTAGCACTTATTTAAGTTCAATCAAATCTATCTATTTGCTTACTGTGCAAGCTAGTAAATCTACCAGGATAACCTTTTTCCCCTTTTCCTTCCAGAAATTATACCTTCTAATTCGAGGTTCTTGTTTAAATTGTCACATGCTGACATGTACTCGAGCTGTGGTTCACTTACTGCTAAGTCAGCTGAAGGTTCTGGAGAAAGGGTTGCTTCATGCCGTCCATGATCTTGAAGTCATTCTGAACAGGGCAAGTACTGTGAATTTCTCCATTGCTTTTTGAGTTGATAGTCCTGTAACTATAGAGCTATCCCAATTTCTTTTATTCTGTTTCTTATAGTTTTTAGAGCAATGTGCAGATGCAACAGGTGCAGAAATTGAAGAAGAGTTAAATCACCATGTTCATGAAATACTACAAAGTCATCAAGTAAGAGATCAGTGTTCAAATGTAAGTACAATCAGTGCTTCTCCTGGGGTCTCAGGTTTTGTCCTTTTAAAATAGTAATGTGCAGAAGGAAGTGTCTTTGACGATGTAGACTCTAGATTTTGTCCCGCAGTTCTGAATTGTGTTATATTTAGAGGGGTTTCTGGGTGAAATGTCTGAAATGAAGCTTAAAAAGATTTTCTTTCCTGTTAGAGTAACTATTAAGTTTCTAGAAAATACACTTTATGAAGGGAAATGTTTTGATTGTGTAAATGTGGTATAAAAAATAATCTGATGCTGCTGTCAGTACGTTTACCTACAGAAGTTGACACGTCTCTGTATGAACTGCAGAACTCGTGCATCCAGCAAATTTGCAGAATTACTTACAGTGAAATTTTTAGAAAGAATTATGTAATTGTAATTGAATTCTCATTTCCATTTAAATGCAGTTTAATTGTTAGTTAAAGGAAAATACTAGTAAAGAAGATACTTAAACAAATCTGGTCTAAGATATTAGACTTTTATAAGCCAAGTTTAATTCCTTAATCACTTGTTTCAAAACTAACCTTGAGCACTTTGGAAATCATACATTCATGAGCAGTCAAAAGAAGTGATTTTTATCAATCTTCTGCCTTCTTAAATCATCATTAGCGAAAAGCTTTAAAATTTAGTACTGAGTTGAAAAATAAAGACTATTTATGAAATAAATTTAAAAAGGAGGGTGGTGAACATTGAGGGGGTGTATGTTTCCAGCAAATATGGGAAGATGATGGAAGAATGCTAGAGATCAAGGCATGAATTAAATCAATACAGGGATGTGTGTGCATTGATACTAACAATGTTCGTGTTGATAGCTAACGTTAATTATGTAGTGTTTAATAAATTCTTCATATCAAATGTTTTAATTCATTTTTATTCTTTTCATTATTTTTAAGTTTTGGTTTTTTTTTTCTTTATCAGGTGAAAAATGTATGTGAGTGTAGAAATAAATTGATAGCACAGTTCTGGAAAGCACATATGAGTTCAAAGAAATGCCCAAATTGCAAGTAAGTTTAACTACATGAGGAAGTAAATAGCTGGTGTAAAGTAAAATACTGTGAGCATTTGTATTAACTTTTATCTGCCTTTCCTGGTTTTCTTTTTTTTCCTTTAAGATCTAGGAGATCACTAGTGCGAAAAGAGCATAACAGCAAGCTGACAGTAACCTATCCTTCTACAGTGTACCATAAGTCAGGAGAGGAAGGCAGCCTGGATGAGCCAGCAGGTAAAATATTTGTCTTCTATTAAAATATGTTCACACTTATTTTCCTGTATTTAAGGTGCACAGACTACTAGCAGTGACTGTGTGCCTGTGACTAATGTATAAAAAATTTAAATAAAACAGTAAGCTCAACAGTAGGGGAGTACTTGACTCCATTAAATTTCTCTGTTTGCGAGCCTTCTTTGCTTTTGCAGCTTCGAGCGTCTGTTTGTATGTCAGGAAAAGAAGTACAAAAAGCATAATGTATGTCAACTCTAACGTGGTTTTGGGACACTGCATTTCTGGTGGGCAGATGATTTTCTGCTAGATTTTTAAACTAGGGGGACTAGATAAAAAATGAACTAGGAGGAAGATGACCAACCTTATTTCAGAATTAAAATTAGGTAATCCTACCTCGTATGGAAGAATTTCCTCTTAAAGAAGTCAGAAAAGAAAGTAGGTGACGTTTTCCAAGCTTAATTATCCTAGTGTTTGAATCTAAACTTACTTTTTTCCACTTCTTGTATCAATGATCCTTTACACAGCCAGGTAAATTGAAGTGGGTTTGTGTGTGTTATTTAACCCTTAGAAAAGATTTCTAAATAGAGCTTATTCCGTTTGCTAGTCTGTGGTTTAAATACTAGGTTAAATCTCGAGTTGTGCCTGGAGAAGCACGATGGCGGTGTTGGGTTTTCAAGCGGAAAGGTCGGATCTCTGCTTTAGCATCCTATCTGTAATACATTTAACAAAGGCAGGAAAGTTTGGATATCCCAGTAGTGACAACTATGATTTCGCTCCATGAAATTGTAGGCTAATACTTTGGGCTTTTTATTTGAGCCCCTTTAGGACTGTCCAAAGTTTGGGGGTGTGTTTTATTATGCTCGTGATGAAAATAGTTGTTCTGGAGGGTCAGGTGAGTTGCCAGAATTGGAATACCTTGCCTCACCACAGAAGACTTCAAAACCAGGCATGTTCTTGCAGTCTCTGTTAACATTCACAGCTGAAGTACAGATAAGAAATATCTTCCTCCTGTCAGTGTTCAAAAACCAAGGCTGTAATGCCTCTTGGTTACTTTCATTACAGTAAAGTCTTACATCTTCTGAAATGGGATGGGCTATAGTTATGTACATTTTGCATAGCCTGTGTCACGGTTGCTTATTGTATTGAATCTTGGAGGGAGTACTTTTAACCTTGGCATCGATGCATTTGTGTTTAAGGAATGGAAAGGTTTTCTATGTGAAGGAATGGGGAATTGATGTTTCACTGTGGAAAAATCTGGATTTCTGGACCTCAGCAAAAAGAACAGTAGGAAGCTTTAGCTGAGGTCATTGTTTTTCTTCAAGCCATGTATTCTGGCTTCCCTTGGACATGAGGAGCTGGCCTGCAAGAGAAGTGGAAACTGAGACCTAAAATCTGTGGCTTTTTTAAAAAAAGGATTGATCTTCTTTTCAGTAGCAAAACCACGTGTTTTCCTTCCTCGCCGAGATACAGCTAGCCCAGACTCTAACTTATAATATAGTTGGGTTGCTGATGGTTATTATTGTCTCATCCACTTGGGTATTTCATGGGGACCTTGATCTCACTGGTAATACTTGAATCCCACTTCTGTGTTCATCAGCTGCAGGTTGACTCTTGATTTGTGTTTTGGTCAGTGGATGAGATAATTTGAAGAAGGGGTCCAGCTCACTATTAATCAAATAAAGCATACACTTTAGATGTTAAAGTTGAGTTTTGTTTCAGTTACTTATACTGGTATCCGTTAGTCACAGAAATGGCTTATTTTTTCCATACTGGGAAGGGTCTTACTTTAGTTGATTTCATATCCCCAAAGCAAACACGTTAATGATATTTTAATGTAGGTGTCAGCCAATATATTTTGTATGTATTTCCATTCCTTCTCTGAGCTGGAAGCACTTATCAAGCAAAAAAAAACCCTTTCAAAGTAACTTCTTGTAATTAGTTTTTTTAATATTTTATTATTTAATTTTTATTTTTTATTTTTCAGCTATTGATGAAAGTCAGTTAGGGAAGAGAGGATACCTGACACCGATGACTGCCAAGGAATACATCCTGGCTCTGTGGAAGAATGAAGGTAATGGCTGTTAAGAGCAACGTTACTTTGTTTTCTATATCACTTATGGACAAAGTCTGCAAATGTTCCCGTATGAACTCCTTGTCAAATCTTTGCCTTAAGGGCTCCTGGCTGCAAGATAGATTTTGTGACAGGAGGACCAGCAGGTAGTAAGTGCAGAGAGCTGGATTCAATGAATAGTTTGGTTAGCTATTCTCATAGTTGTGGCTCCCCACAAATTACGATTGTTGTTTACAGAGAATTTAATGTTGATACGGTGCTGCACCTAGTATTCCCCACAGTTACATTGGTTAAAGACTGAGAATGTATTTAGCGGTCTCTTTTGAGTTCCCTGTACTCTGAATCTGTCTGCAGTTACCAGGAAAAACCAAAGCAGTTTCATGTATCAGTCACAGCTAGTAACTGGAAACTGTTTCTTCCTGCTGTTTTGCTTTTTTCTTTTACTATACTCTATATTTCTGTTCAGAGTTGTTTCTAAAAAATCATGTATGTGACCAAAAAGAACAATGGCAAATCTTTCTAAAGTATGCCTAAATATTTTTACTTTAAACAAGCTCACTAGTATTTAACTTGGCAGATGCTTTTGGCTTGATTGACCAAATGTATCTGGGGGGTTGGGTTCCCAAACAATAGCAGTGGTAATGAGTTTATCTTTTCTATTGTATCTTTTTAGGTTTCTTTCTGCGTTATCTCTTCCCTGGGATGGATCCCCATGAGAGTTCGGGGTTCAGTCCAGACATTTTTTTTTTAGATCTACTTGTGGTTCCGCCTTCAAGGTAAAATTTCCCCAAAAACCTTTTGTAGAAATCATGGGGTTTAGTGCATACTTTTTGCAGGAGTCAGAGATGGAAACGCCTAAAGTACAGACACTGGTCTGCTAAAGTGTCAGTGGAGTGTTAAAAAAACCCAAACAAACAAACAAAACACAGCAGTAACTGATGATAAGTTTTATTATAACTTCAAATGAGTTTGTTAAAGGACTGAAATACTAATTATGAAAAAAAATGTGGTTTAGTACTAGTATTTTAAATTATTATAGACTATTATAACTGTATAGTACTGGTAGAATTTCTTGTTAAGGAATCATTCCTCTTTTATGACCATCCCAGTATAATAGAATTTTTAAATGCTCACTGTTTAGTTTATAGGGATTATTTTTCATGCACTGAAGACTTAGCTTAGAATGTTTGAGGTTTATCATGCTACTTTTCAGTGGCTTTAATCTTCTAAAGTAATTTTGATGTGCTGTAGGTATCGGCCCGTAAATCGTGTTGGAGACCGACTGTTTACAAATGGTCAGACGGTGAACTTGCAGGCTGTCATGAAAGATGCCAAAATGATACGGAAGCTCTTGGTTTTTATGGCAAAAGAACAATGTCAGCCAATAAAAATTGCAGAAGAAGAAATCCAAACAGTAAGATTTGCTGGTTATCTTATTCTTTGCTTTTTGGATATGTGGGTCGAGTTCAGGTGGGCTCCTGTTTGAACTGTTCCAGTAACAGATTTTGCCTGGGCTGTTGGAGTATGTGCCGTTGGAGATGTTCTCAATAGCTTTTTTTTTTTTTTTTGGCTCATGCCTCTTTCCACTCACCTGCCTGGTGCAAAGGCAAAAACATTTTATGCAGACTCCTTTAGTCATGGTTTTTGTATTGAATTACTGTATGTGAGACGTAACAGCCTCCTGTTACTGGAGAATGAAATATGTACAGCACAAACAGTTCACAATAAAACTTTTCCAGCATCTCATCGAATGAAAAATGATGGAGGAAAAAAGCCACTTTATCTTCTAGGTCTAGTAGAGCCAGTTGTGATCGTGGTTATTTTGATGTCTAAATGGAACCAAAAAATTCACAAATAACATTAATTAGTAACAATGCTTGTTTACTACTGACGGTTCACATGGACATATAGTGGTAAATAATAATATGTCACCATGCCTCTTTTCATATTTGTTCATGAGTTGTATTATTGAGGGTTCTTTGATACTGGACTTAGTTTCAGCTGAACTTGATTTACATCTTAAGTGTGAAACATTTTGAAAACATTTTTAGTTGCTCAGAATTTAGCCACTAGATGGAGATATGTTCTTAAAACGTTAGACAGAAGGTTAACGCGTTTTCGATGTGACTGGTATACTGACTTTTAGACTGTGAAAACAAAGTGATGTAGGTGATAAAAGCTCTTGGATTTACATTATTTTTATCTAAGAATAGGACTTCCTGGTAGCACAGTGATTTGTGGCACAGAGCGACTAACCAGTAACACCTGGTTTGGAAGGAGGACTGTCACTTACCAAGGGATGATTGATGAGCAATCTTCTTTTAAAATCCCACTGGTATATGTAGCTGTGGTGTTTGGAGACCTCCCATCCAAGTCAGTTTCTAAAGCTTGGCAACAGACCTGTCTCGGGGCACTCGGTTGTAATAATTTGAAAGTTAAGTTTACATTGTTAATGGTTTTTTTTGTTTTTTTTTTTTTTTTAAATTATTGTCTTTAATGAGGTGCAAAATAGTGGCCAATGTTTCATTTGCTATTTAATACTATAATTTCAGCCTAGTAAATAAAAAGTATTTTTTGTTAAGTTGAAGTTTCTAATTTCTGTTCCTGTAGGAGACAGGAGAGAATAATGAACCTCTGGACAATTCTGTCCTGACAATGATTCCAGGACAGACCATTGCAGATAAGCTGTACAACGCTTGGATTCGTCTTCAGAGCCATGTCAACATTGTATTTGATAGTGACATGGACAAACTAATGACAGAAAAATACCCTGGTATTCGTCAGGTGGGTAGCTGGCAGAATCTTAGAGACTCTGGACTTTGTGTGTCACAGACAGTTAAAACAAGAGAAGTTGATGGAATAAGAAAAAAGTGAAATATTTGTGGTTAGCCTGAGGCATTTTCATGATACTCATCGCTGTAATATCTGGAGAATCTGTCTGGTGTTGCATGCTTTCACATTTTAATCATTAACTTAACTTCTGTTTTCAAAGCTATTAGAGAAAAAGGAGGGACTGTTCCGCAAGCACATGATGGGAAAGCGTGTGGATTTTGCTGCTCGATCAGTCATTTGCCCCGATATGTACATTGGTACTAATGAGATTGGCATTCCTATGGTAAGAATAAATAAAGGAGCGTTTCTTTTTGGTGCAGCTGGGGACTGAACTACACTGTAACACTTTCAGCTACATAGCAAGCAGTTTAAGATGTCGAGATTTTCTGACTCATCCGGACTCTTTCCTCCCCAGTGTGCCATAGCTGTATGTTACCACTGTGTGTTAATAAAGAAGGAGCATTGAAGAGCAGGAAATTCTCACAGTTATACTGAACACCGCATCTGGGAAAGAGGATTAAAAAAGAGAAAAAGCTGTACTTGCTTCCTGGGATTATGAATTGGTGCAAACTTTATAAGTAGACCCTGTTTCTCCTGTGGTCTTTGTACAGTGTATCTTGTAACAGCTATGGCAGCCTTTAAGAAAAGGCCATAATGTCACCAACTTCATTCATCCTTAATGATTTTTACCTGCACAGAGATGACACCAAGCCTGAATTCGAGCTTTTAATTATATCATCTTTTCTGCTTGCCTATCTGCAAATAGTGGACCTGGTGATAATGGGCTTTTTCTCTGTATTTGTTGGTTTGTTTGTAGAATCTAAAATGATGCTTTCTTATTTTTAATTGCTAATTGAGTTTTCCTTTTCTGCTGCAGTAGAAAATCATAAAAAGGACATTGTTTCTGTTCTTATGGTAGAGGATTTTAAAACAGAAATGTATTTATTTGGCATGACAGTAGAATGAGGAGGAGATGCATCCAAGAGCTTAAAGTAATTTATGTTTACATTGTATGAGTTAACATTTGACACTGTTTTCTCAGTGGCTTAGTACTGTTTTAAGCCAAAGCTGAACAACTAGTTAGTTCTCTCCTCTTTTCCCTCCTGTCTAGGTATTTGCTACCAAACTGACTTACCCTCAGCCAGTCACTCCCTGGAATGTCAAAGAGCTGAGGCAGGCTGTCATAAATGGCCCAAAGGTTCACCCTGGGGCCTCCATGGTCATTAATGAAGATGGATCTCGTACAGTGTTGAGTGCAAGCAGCCTGACCCAGAGGGAAGCCATAGCTAAGCAGCTCCTCACTCCTTCTTCAGGCGCGCCCCAGTCAGGACTGAAGATTGTGAGTACGACAAAGAGTTTTCTGGAGCCCTCCTGCACCTGTGGTGTTTTTTTTAAAATAATACTACTACTGTCCTTGCTAGTGATTCCAATGGGCCCACTCACAGAGACTCCCAGCAGGGGTATCTCTTGTCTTTTAGTAGGTGGCTGAGAAAAAGTTGGGGA